TTAGGCTGTATTCAGACTGACAAAAGCGCTCATGATTGATTGGTCGCATGACTGCACTTTTTGAGGTTGCAAAATAACAAAAGCCAATTTAAATATTAAATACATTCTCTGTATGCACAAACTGAGATTGAATGTGATGTAAAATCAGGGTCACTTAATCACAGCTCGGTGCCCAACTCAGCGTTGTAACAACACGGTGGTACAGGTGGATTCCTAGCATGCTGAAAATGTATCTGTCAGTATTTATTTCCAAAAACAGCCCAAAGGTAGAATTCTAATTTTTACACCAAATGCTGCTACTGCGTGGACACAATGGGAAAAGTGTGCAGTATGAAGTAAATACTACTCTGGGCTTAGTATCTCACACCGATTATTTTTACTGCTCTTTTGGCAAGTTATCTATCCTCCATCACCCCTAAGCAGGATATGGGAGCTACTGTTGTGTGTACATGTGCGTCTATGTCAGAGAGTTTTAGAGCATGAGTGTGAGATGTTTTTGCAAGGTGATGGGATTTTTTTCTGGATATTTATTCATTAAGAGTTTAAATTTTAGACTTTTAAATTTAGATTTTAAAGTAAAGGGTATTAATCGGTGCAGACTATGCTCAGGATATGGTCTCAGCTGTCTAGGGATTTTTTTGTATTGTTAACAAATCCTGCGAAAAGACCAAAAAAAAAATGACTTGACCCTACTAACATTTCTCTTCCTCCATGATTGTCTAAACACTATTAGTGGATGGTGTTTCCTTTATTATGATGAATATCGGCACTGTAGCTACTGGGTAAGGCAATCCAAGAAATGCCAAATGTCATCCTGCTGTCACTAGCACACAAACTGTGTAATTAAAAAAAGTCCCCCAAGAAATACACAATGTACTTGTGATTGAGTAGTGTTTGGCAAAAATTACAGTGCACTACTGCTTTGTAAATAAATTCAGTGTATATGTGTGACCTCCTTTTAGGAACCACTCATGGGGAAGTCAAAAAGTATTGAGATACAGGCCAATATTTCATAGCTTTATGTCTTTTCTTGGGATTTTTAACAGCAATAAAAATATATGTATTCACAATCTTATAATTTACTGTAAGGTTTAGGTTAGGGGCAAAGGGGAAAGCAAATATGTATTCTGAGTGTGCAGAAATGATGACAGTGACACACTAGGAAAAGTTACCAGTTTATAGAAGTCAAAGTTTTCTTTTGTTACAGGATGCACATGTCCTTGGCACTGCTGATTACCCTACAGCTTCGTTGCTATCCTGGGCAACTGTCAGCTGACCATATCTGCCAGAACTGAAAAGGTGTGATGAGGTTGACATGTGTGGACTAAAGCTCACCAGAGACACTGAGTGAGGCAAATGTCTGAAAAGGAGGTGACAACACCGACAGGGAAAGAATGGTACAGCACAGACTGCACAAATACCATTCTACCAAATGGAGCTGTAGGGATTGGGATTTTATTAGGTGTTAATAAATCTTGTAAAAAGTGTCTCTGTTCATAAGGAATAAATGGAATAATATTCAATCTAATTGATGCAAGAAATTAAAAGTAAACATCTCAGATTTTATGTGTGTTAACAGTGTTAACATATATAAAACTTGTTGTATCAGTATATACTGTATGTACTCTCTAGATGAACCTACTCAGCACACAGTGCTGCAGCTCCCACTTGTTTTACACCTTGGCTATGAGCCATTTGTCTGCCCAGCAGATCACCTACTCTATCAGCTGACTTTCGTTTAAAAGGACTGTGGGGTATGTGAACACAGCTGCATGCACGTACTCGAGCAAAACTGTATATATTTCTGTGTCTGTGGGAGTGTGTACAGTATATGCAATATTTAGTCTGAAATGTCTAAGCTGGACTAAGGAATGTTACAGCATCTAAAGCTAATGGAGAAAAAATGCAGTACTAAGTGGAATAAAGTGATTCAAATGATTTAAAATGATGTGATTTTAGTCATAGTAAATGTGCCATACCATAGACACACTATTATTTGACAGACATCCAGTATTATAAGCAAAATGTACTTGTGAGGCACAATGCTCTCTTAAATACTGAACAGTATTTAAGCATTTTAAATAGCTGTGCTTCATCACTGGCACCAGATTAGCGATGCTTTCTTAAACAGTCTTTCTTGGGATGGGAGCAGTGACAGCTTTGACTCAAAACACCTCTCACTCTCATGTCTGTTTACTAAGACGTCGGTATGGGATGTCGAGAGGAGGCACATACTGTATGTCTGCAGATGAGGACAGAATCTATATGTTCTTAGTTTCAGGTGCATGAAAATGCATTTTTGGTGTGTCAGACAGTAACTCTGTCAGCATCAGCGCTTCATGAGGCCATTTCTGCTGATTGTGTGGGTTCGTGTTTATCTGAGATTGACTGCATTCACAGTATTTACAACTGTGACTTCACACTGGGATTACGTTTTTTTTAGAAAACAGTTTTTGTGTGATATACATACAACAAATTGCAATAAATTGCCGGCACTGTCCCTGGCATTTATGCCTTTTAACATTTAAACCTCCACTTTCCCCTCAAGTGGTTTTACCTCAGCTGAGCTTTGAATAAGATTTAAGTTGTTACAGTTACCAACCCTGTGGCCTGTGAGCATCTGTGCCAAACTGTAGCGCTGTAAACTTTTCCAGAGTTGTCTGATTTCTCAAACCTCAGCTTTGTGTTTGGACAGAAACAGGATCACAGCTGTAAAGTGACTAAAAAAAAAGACCTGAACCTGAGGAAAGACAGGCATGCAGCTACATTTAAAAAGATTTCTTTGAAGACCAAATTAAGAAGGTAGCGTTTGTTGATTCTAGTGTGCTTAGGAAAGCTATTTACAAGAGCTTTCATGTATCTGAGCTACTGTATTAAAACAATATGTGTGGAAGAAGACTTATCTGTGTCCTAATACTTTTCCCTCAGCTAAGAATGTGGTATAAGGAACACTATCTTGAAAATCAAACTTAAAGGGAGGAGGAAAAAGTTCTGTTTCATCGGTTTTGACTTGAGAGATAAAAAGCTGAGACGGGTCTGTTGACAGTTTCTGTCCATGACTGCTGACGGAGCTACCAAGTTGAGGAAAGGTCACCGTGTGAGGAATGTGTAATTTCATCACGTCTTCCCCGCACATTACTGCTCTAAACACTGTCAGAGCCTGGCAAAGAGCTGGGGTCTTTAATTCTGATCTGATACAAGGACTTGCAGACTTCAGCCATGCACCAAAGTAGTCTTTCACTTTCTATTTCCACTGTGTATTTTTCTACAGTTATACTGGGTCTCCTCAGTGGAGATGTGACATTTACTCCTTAGCTCAGTTACAGTATGTGTTGCACATCACAAAGGATGACATTGGCTTTAAATAGTGTTCTCTTTATTTAGCTGGTTTGCAAAGCTGCAAGGAAATGTCTTTTTATACCTCCTGAGCTAGGCCACTTCAAATTTAGGATTTCAGACAGAAGAAGATACTGCCCCTGTTACAGGGCTGAGGAACAGTGAAAGCAAAACTACTCAATAACAGAAGTAAGAGTCTACAGCTAGCAGCTCTGTGAACATCCACAGCTGGTTTGTGCCACTGTATCAGATCACAAAGGTATACACCATGTGGCAGTCTGTTTAAAGCCTTAAAAACCAAAGCAAACAACTTATAATCAATTCTGAAATGAACTGGAAGCCAGTGAAAAGAGGCCACAATGAGGGTTATATGGTTATTCCATATTAACTTTTGAACCAAATTTTGTGACAATAAATCTAATGCCACAAAGGCCAACCAAGTGATGCTAGAGGAATGGGCATTAAAATCCTTATGGACGTCCTGCTGAGATAGT